TGCATTTCTTTGAGTAAACATTAATATTCAAGTACATGCAATTTTTCACTCTGGAGACATGCTGTTACGTTTTTAAAGCAAATAGCTGTTTCTGTTGAGATACATGTAGAAAAGTACTTGTGGAAGCTTATACATGGGTGTCTAAATTATTTTTTAAAAACGGTAAATTAATTTCGCCACTAAAAAATTAATTTCAACAGACTAAATGGCGAAATAATTTTTTATTAAGAGGAATAATTTAGACACCCATGTATAGTAGAAGATTGAAACAACATGGATAACGGAACTCTATTCCAGAAACAAAGACTCTAACGTACATGTTATAAAAGTATTCTAAAGGCATGTCAAATATTTACACCAAGAAGCAAAACGTTTTGATGCAAGTTTACAATATTTAGAACACATTAGATTATTTTTACGTTACAATTGGACCTACTCTATAAGTGCACACCCTCTCTAAATGCGCATTAGCATGGTTGACGATCCATTTGATTGGCCAACATGTTACACAAAATCTACATATACTTGAATAAGAAACGTTAATATACAAACTGGCCCTAAATATTAAGTATATATGAAGCTTTGTGGTTGTTCTAGTTGTTAGTTCTTCTATTTGCAGGAAAATTTAATCAAGTATAATTAGATTCAATGAAGACTTTTATAATACGGGTATTTTCAAAAAAAACGCAGTTTAGCAGGTTTAGTGAAGTTCTAATAAGTGATATACTTACTAAGAGCTTACGCTCAAAAAAATTTTTTTAGATCAGTTGTTTGAAACCTAAAGGCTTATAGATGAAAAATTTTACTAATTGATAAGTTTTTATTTTACCAACTATTTATTTCGCTAATTTTATTTTGTAAGTCTAATTCCAAACCTCTATCAATTTCTAGTTGACCGTCATCCACTTCATCCAGCTTAGTCTCATCCGGTTCATCAATTAATTCTCTAGCCTCGGCATTTGTCTCTGCATTTAAGTATTTTAAAAATGAGTTAACATTCTGCCATATACAATCCTTAAAATAATTTAAGCAAGGCCTGCACTTATTATCCAATTTGTTGTAGTATCAGAGATGAATTGACCAAAATTTCACCTCCAACAAAAGACAAGGAAAATGATGATCTGGCATTTAAGAGAGAACAATGTTGACTAACAATGCTCAGTAGAAAGATGAGGTAGATTTTGATTTGGCACAGGTCAAAGGTATCTACTAAGTATCATTATATGAGTAAGTCAATGCAGTTTTTAAAGAGCGTTTTAGTTTGTATATATTCAAGGGTTTTATTAAGGGACTTTATTTATGGGTTTTTATTAACAAATTTTATTGTATAGGGTAAAAATTACATATGCATTTGAGGATATTTGACAAGAGAAATTTATCCTCTTATTTATAACAAAATTATAGAGCAAGAAAAAGAACAAGATCAAACATTTTTCTCTTATCTCTAATTATTGAACTGTCATAGAATTAAAACCATTTAATTTTTTTCTGGTCTAATTTCCAATTTTTACTTACAGTCATTTTCATTGAAGTTTTGACAGAATGAAAAAAGAAGGCAAGTTAAATAAAAACTTTTATGCTGTCATCATTCTTTACTTTCATTTATTTAGTGACTTATTCATTAATTTATATACTTTTCGTCTTTCACAGCCACACACCTTACTTGACAAAGTAATATTATTTTGATAGCTATTAACCAAATCGGGTAAATATTGCTTTCTTCAATAGAATCATTGATGGAGGCTTGGCTTTCATAGGATCATTGTTTAATATTTCATACAAAGAGCCTGGTTTTAACAAGTTTACTTGTATATAATTATTGGGTAGAAATTGTGGGTTCTGGAGCATCACAGTGTAATGGCTTTTTGCATAATGATTTGTATATTTCACATACATCATTTTGCATATTTTTTGAATTCTGAAAGAACATGATTTTGTCAATAATAATTTTTCTTACCTTAATTTTTCAAGTCCTGTAAAAAATTTAATGTGTCAGTTTTGGAGGTCACCTGATCGCATATGCTTTTTTCTAAGGTGCAGTAATAATGTTTTTTTTTCCATCTATGATTAATAATAAATCTATATATGAACAAAAAAATCAAAACTAAAACTAAAAACTAAAATTATATAAATAAAAAAATAAAAAAAGGAAACAACAAAATGATTCAACAAAAAACTTAACAAAAAACACGTCTACATTTTATATGAAAAGAATCAACAGAATTACCCTTGTTATATACCTCTTAACTCTACATATGACTATTATGCATGACCACATACAATTCAAGATAAATTTTTTTTTTTTGCTATATTTTTATTTTGTTAGTTGGGTTAACTTTATCTCTTGTGTTTCTCCAGGATCAAATATCCATATGATATTCCATTGTAGCAGGTACAAAAGATCTTTTTAACCGAGTTTACTATTATGAGTCGATTTTTGTTTGTTTTTACTAACCTTATTCTTTTTCTATTTTTATTAGACAAGCTTTTCTAAGTCTAAATTTCTACAAGACATATATTTAGCAGCTATTTTTTTCACTAGATATCTATTTTAGCAAACCTTCATATAACTTGATCGGAAGTAGCATTAAAATTACAAGATTGTTCAGAAGATAAGTCTTCATTTTCAAGATGATTCTCATTCTGGTAACAAGATCCACCAGAATCGAATTGTCTATCTGATTTGGCACCTTCAGTATTTTTCCAATACCATCTATACGATTTATTCATTTTGGTATCAATTTTTTGAAACGTTCTTGCAGCAGGCTCTATTTCAGTGGGTTTTTCTATTGTGTATGTGATTGTTTAGAATTTAGTAACTTTTTTTAACCATTTTTCGAATTCACATTGCAGGTCTTCTTTTTTCAAGAACCTTTTAGGTAGGGAACTATTCACTTTTTCTCACTACTGTTATTATCAACCAATATCTCGTGATCACTTTCAGCATCAGTTTCATCATTATCAATATCTTCAAGCCTTATGCATAAGTTTAGTATTTCCTTTTCCTTTTTTTGATCTAATTCATTCGATTCTGATTTACTAACGGCATCTACTTCTATCCTTCTAGCTCTAATTTTTTCTTATAACCATGTTTGATCAGACGTGTTCTATTAACATCACCCATATCTGTGAACTTTTGGTAATAAATAAATATGCTGTGATTATTCTTTTTAATATTAATTCTATTTTGGTAGCAAGATCCAAGGTTAGTTTTGTTGACAGAACAATTCCTAGCATTGGAGAGATATACTGCAGAACTTTTACAATTGTGGCAAAGATTTTTGTACGGTTCTAATTTATTGCAAAAGCGGTCATTAAGAATATTTGGGTCTCAGTCATTATTATTTCCACTATCACGACTATTTCAGCTAATTTTTGGTAGATGAGGGTCTTGGGTTAGCTTTTTTCAACTCTAATTCTATTATTTTTGTCCTTTTTGACTTCAATTTCACTTAGCTTTTCAAATATCATCTTTAATTCTTTTCAACCTTAATTCCAATTTGGCAGCAATGCTTTGGGGCTTTTATTTTATCAT